TTGTGGTTTTAATTTGCATTTCCCTGATGATTAGTGATGTTGAGCATCTTTTCATAAGTCTATTGGCCATCTGTGTGTCCTCTTTTTTTTTTTTTATCCTCACCCAAGGACATTTTTCCATTTTTTTTGTTCAGAGAGAGTGGGAGGGAGAGAGAGGAAGAGAGAGAGAAACATCGACATGAAAGGGACACATCGAGTGGCTGCCACCCGCACGACCCAACCAGGGCCAGGGACAAACTGCAACCAAGGTACGTGCCCTTAGCGGGAACCGAACCTGGGTTTCTCTGGACTGCAGGTCGACACTCTAACCGCTGAGCCAAACCGGCCAGGGCATCTGTGTGTCCTCTTTGAGAGAAGGTCTATTCAGAACCTCTGCTCATTTTAAAATTTGATTATTTCATTATTGAGTTGTATGAATTCTTTATATAATATAATTCTTTATCAAATATATGACTTGCAAATATTTTCTCCCATTCCATTGGCTGCCTTTTGACTTTGTTGATGGATTCCTTTGCTGCGTGGCTCTGTCCTCCAGCACGCCCTTATTACTTTCCAGCCCGTGCGTCTCGCCTGTGACTTCACCTCTGCTTCTCAGGGCTTGTCCTGGTAGGTGGGACAGGACGCAGACGGCTGGCATGGACACCTCCCTTCCCCCATGTCATTAAGGCGACCCCAGCAAGTCAGACGCTAATCAGACAGTTTCTCTTGAGGGCAGGCCTTGTGAAGGAGACAGGATACTCTAGCGTATTTCACAACAGTCACTTTTTTCCTGCCCCTGCCAGAAGTACCACTTGCTTTTCTTTAGCGTCCCTGTGAGAATGGGGGCGAGCTCCTCGGAGTGAAACGCACAGAAGTGTGGGGCTCCCGTGACCTGTGTTCTGTGCTGACTGTGGTGGTGATGACCCTTTAAGGAGCACCGCTTCCCTGGGTTTACATCGAATCTTTTTTTTTTTTTTTTATCCTCACCCGAGGACATTTTCCCATTTTTTGTACAGACAGAGTGGGAGGGAGAGAGAGGAAGAGAGAGAGAGAGAAACATCGACGTGAAAGGGACACATCGAGTGGCTGCCACCCGCACGACCAACCAGGGCCGGGGACAAACTGCAACCGAGGTACATGCCCTTAGCGGGAACCGAACCCGGGTCTCTCCAAACCGCAGGCGGGCGCTCTAACCGCTGAACCAAACCGGCCAGGGCTACATCGAATCTTAATAAAGTGGATGCAAAAGAAAGTAATAAGGGCAATTTTTAAAAGCTTTTGAAGATTCGGCCACATTGCCAACCAGAGAGGTTTTCTCCGTTTATGTCTACCAGCCATATCTGAAAAAACTGGTTTTTACAAACCTTTACCAATACTAGTTATTATCATTTTGTTTATCCTCACCCGAGGACATTTTTCTTTTATCCTCATCTGAGGACTTTTTTGTGTGTTTATCTTCAGATAGAGCAGGAGGAAGAGAGAGAGAAGCATCGATGCGAAAGAGACACATCGAGTGGCTGCCACCCACATGACCCCAACTGGGGCTGGGGACAAACTGCAGCCGAGGTACATGCCCTTAGTGGGAACCAAACCCGGGACTCTCTGGTCCGCAGGCCAATGTTCTAACCGCTGAGCCAAACCAGCCAGGGTTATTATCATTTTTATTTATTTATTTTTAAATCCTCAACCGAGGATACATTTTTCCATTTTGTCGTTAGATAGAGTAGGAGGGAGGAAGAGAGAGAGAGAGACACATCGACTGGTTGCCTCCCGCACAACCTGAACGAGGCCGGGGACCGAACCGCAACCGACATACATGCCCTTGACCGGAATTGAACCCGCAACTCTTTGATCTGCAGGCTGACACTCTAACTACTGAGTCAAACCGACCAGGGCGTTATTATAATTTTTAAATGATTACCATTCTAATAGGATAAATTACCTCAAGTTTCCTTCTTTACTAATAAAGTTAAGTAATCTGTGCATATGCTCACTGTACTTTTTTTTTAATCCTCACCTGAGGATATTTTTCCATTAACTTTTTAGATAGGATACAAGGGAGGGAGGGGGAGAGAGAGCAAGAAACATCAATGTGAGAGAGACACATCAAATGCCCGACCAGGGCCGGGGATCGAACCTGCAACCCAGGTATGTGCCCTTGACCGGCAGTGGAACGCAAGACACTTCCATCCAAGGCCTGTGGATTTTAGTGTCTGCAGGGGGCAGGAGGTGACTCTGGAATCAGAATCAGCCTCTTCAGGTACGAAGGGACAACTTCAGCTCAGGCGAGTCCAAGATACGCAGATTTTCGAGTGGCGGGGTGGGGGGGGGAGTTGGTGCCCCGAACACCATGTCCTTCCGGGGTCAACTGAATTCCTATTCCAGAGGGAGCTGCCCTCAGCCTTAGAAACGATCATGAAAGCACAGTGCCCAGCACAGTAAAAGCATCGGTACACTGACAGCAATGTTATTACTGAAAGACGTTTGATAACCCTGTTGACACACACGGATCTATCCATCCCACCACGGACATGGGGCGCTCACAGCGTGGCCAGCCCTGTGCTGGGCGCCGGGCTCAGCGTACACAGGGCAGCCCTGGTCTCCGCCCTCTGGGTCTGCAGTCTCGTGGGGGAAGACAGACCCCAGACGAAGACAAAGAAATAAACCCACTGGGAATGGTGGCCAGCGTGCCGCAGGGCAGGAGGGGCTGAGAGGGTGGACAGGCGAGGACGGCTGTCGTCCGGGCAGGTCAGGTGCTGGGCGGAGCCGGGCTGAGGCCTGGTGGACGAGGAGGAACCAGGCAGGCAGAGGACCTGGCAGGGGTCGGGCAGGAAGCACGGGTGTCTGGCGGGCCCGGGGAACAGGAGTGTGCGGCATCATGAAGGGAGAGGAGAGGAACTTGAGATGGGTGGGAGGGGTGCAGGACCTAGCAGGGTACGGAAAGAGTCTGTGTGTGTACAGGTGTATTTCTCTTTCTTTTTCTATCCTCACCCGAGGACATTTTCCCATTTTTTTGTTCAGGTAGAGTGGGAGGGAGAGAGAGGAACAGAGAGAGAAACATCAACGCGAAAGGGACACATCGAGTGGCTGCCACCCGCACGACCGACCAGGGCCGGGGACAAACTGCAACCGAGGTACATGCCCTTAGCGGGAACCGAACCCGGGTCTCTCAGGACTGCAGGTCGACGCTCTAACCGCTGAGCCAAACCGGCCAGGGCGATTTCTTTTTCTTTTTTTATCCTCACCCGAGGACTTTTTGCATTTATCTTCAGATAGAGTGGGAGGGAGAAAGGGGGGAAGAGAGAGAGAAACATTGATGCGAGATAGACACCTCGAGTGGCTGCCACGCACACAACCCCAACTAGGGCCGGGGACAAACTGCAACCGAGGTACATGCCCTTAGCGGGAACCGAACCTGGCCTCTCTGGTCCACGGGCCAGCGCTCTAACCGCTGAGCCGAACCGGCCAGGGCGCATGTGTATTTCTCTAATTCTACTAAGTGCAGTGGGAAACCACTGAGGTGCTCTCAGGTAGGAGGCTGACATGTTCTGCGTATGAAGACCTGGGGCCTCTGTGGAACGGGAACAGGGACAGTCGGGGCCCTCAGCCCAGGAAGGACACGCCAAGGTGATGGCAGTGAAAACAGAGAGAAGTGACAGATGCCAGGTGCATTTGGAAGCAGATCGATGGGAACTAGGACTTGCTGATGTGCTGAGTGTGAGGGGTGGGGAAGGTGTCGGCAGGGCGCCTGCTTCCTGCCTGGGGGGTGGGTGTGGGTGGGACGGGGCGTGGTGCCCAGGACAGACAGGTTCGCGTCCTCCAGCGTCCGAGGAGAGTCCTGGCTGAGGCTGCACAGGTGAGACGCCGGAAGAAAGATGCCACTCAGATCCATGGGACAGGTGAGTGGCAGCACCTTATCGTCTGACTCCAACAGGTGACAAGCGCCCTGACCCCCGGGCACAACCTCAGGTGCAATAGCTGCTGTAGGCCAGCAGTTCTCAAAATCAAGGGTGCTCCCAGCAAGCTTGTTCAAATACACTTATCTACTCCCAGTGATTCCCATTCAGGTCGAGGGAGAGGCCAGACACACCCCCTTCTATGAAAAGGTCCCGGGATGCAGACCCTGCTGGTCTGGGACCTGGGTCTGGATCACTCCTCCACGAGGCCGTGGGCCTGGGCACAGGCCAGCTTCACGCGCTCTGGCTCTGGGCGAGCTATCAACCCCCTGGCTGGACTAAACTCCAGTGTCCCGCAGGCTGTGAGGGTGCGAGGGTGCCAGGGCGCCGGTGCTGAGCACGTGTGAAACAGAGGCCAGCACCTGGTGGAACCACGGGGCTGCGAGCGTGAGCTCCGTCCCCAGAGCACACACAGCGCTGTGGCGGGCGCCGTGCGCTGGTCTCTGACCCGAGCTGGAGGGAGGACAGGCCGGGCGGAGGTCTGAGCTGAGCCCTGCACGGGGAGGGTCTGCGCTTGGCGAGGGCTGGGGGAACTTCCCCAGGACAGGGGGTCGGGCCCTGAACCCCCCCAGCTCCTGGGGGACAGACCTTTCCTCCGGTCTGGTCAACCATGGGCTTTCAACTTCCAGAGTCTCAGTTTCATGTCATTCTAACATTTTCAATAAAGATGATCAAACCCCACAACTTCACTTTTGGAGGACGTCTTGTGTAAATAAACTCACGTGCCCTAATGTTTGAATTTGGGTTGCCTCCAGCCCTCCACAGACATCTCTCTCCTCGTCCCGTCCCTCACAACCGACACTGCACTGAAAGGTGGGCGACCCCTCCCCAGAGACCTGCCCCCTGCACCAGGCGCCATGCAGACAGGGCGACAATTTCAGGCCGGTGCTGGAGGTGTCCACAGGAGACCCTGGCCCAGGAACAGGAGGCCGCGGCCACAGCAGCTCCCAGGCCCAGTGCGCGCCCGGGCGTGCTGAGCCCACACCCTCGCGGGAGACGTGGATGATGCGTGGGGTGGAGGGAGCAGAGGCGAGGCGCCCACCCTCTCCCAGCTGCACGTCTTACCTTCTCGTAGGGACAGTACTTGTACATCTTGATGGGGCTCGTGCAGATGAAGACATTCGTGCTGCAAGAGCAGGAGGAAGAGTGAGTGGGGAGCCGCGTCCTGACGTCACCGCCCTCCCGCTGGGCGGGGGCCTCAGTCGGAGCCCGTCAACCCACGGCCCCGTTACTGTCCAAGCAGAATGTCTGCCCGGTGCCACTGCCCTGGGCACCGCAAGGGACCCCCGTCCTGGGCCAGGCAACCAGCTCAGGGGTGGGCATTTAACACGGCAATTCTGCATGGGCAGACCCAAAGGCTGGCTGGGCTAGTCAGATGCCAGTCTGGGCTCTACCAGGAAAATCCCGAGACACGCGTGGCAACGAGACAAGCAGTCCCGGGATGCTGAGCAGGGCCAAGGGGAACGGGGCCTGTGCCACGTGGAGGAGAGAAAGCCCAAGGCCACCTCTCCAGTGGAGCGTCCAGCATGGTGCTTCTAAGGGCCGTCCGCCTTACAGACTGTACCAGGGCCTCATGCCTTTTTATTGCTCAGCAACAGCCCGCTGTACACACACACCACAGCTCCATCACTGCCAGACATTCGGGTTGTTTCCCCTGGGATGGCGCTGCAGGGGACACTTGCGACATGTTTCTTCGAGGACGCATGCATTCGATTTTCGAGGACGTTTCCAGAGCACAGCTGCTGGTCCTGCGATAACTGCACAGTGACACTCTCGGGAAGCGTCTTCCAAGTGTTCCCCAGACGCCCACCATCCTACAATCTCCAGCGATGATGGGGTTGCAGGAGTCTCCACGCCCTCCCCGGCCCCTCCCCGTGCCTGATTTTCATCATGGTCGTTCCGGTGAGTGTGGAAGTTTCTCACTGTGGTTTGGTTTTGCATTTTCCTGACGATTAAAATGTCGAGGGACATTCCCACGCACGTATTGGTCATTTGTCTCCTTTAGAGAAACGTGTGTGCGAGTCCATCCGCCTCCTCTTTCTCCCTCCCGCCCCGTCCTCCGCCCTCCAACCGCCCTCCACTCACTCAGTTCCAGCCACCTGGCCTCCGTGTCCCTCAGACACGTCGAGTCCTTGACCTTTACCTTTGTTCTTCAGCCTGGGGTGCCCCCTCCCCGACTTTACTGTTAGTTCATTGTCACCCTTCAGGCCTGGGGTCCAATGTCACCTCCCCAGGGACTCCTTTCCCCTCGGACGTGCCCCCCCATGTACTCCCGAACACATCACCCTGTTTATTTCCTTCACATGGCTCATTCTAATCTGAAATTACTTTGCTTGGCTTCACCTTCGCCACGGAGGCCTTCTGAGGCCTGAGACCGCCAGTGCTCCCTGACGGGCGGTGAGGCGATGGGACAGTATGTTTGGATGAGCAGGCATGTGGCCGCATCCCAGGCTGCACACAGTCAAGGACCGTGTCTCACAGGCAGGCACACCTGGGTTTCTCCCTCGCCACAGCTGGGGTTTCCTGCCAAAGTGGTCCCCAAGGAGGCCGAAGGCTTATTTCCACAAACACTGCGACTGCTCAACATGCTCGGAGTCACGACCACCACGGACGACCACGGACGACACATGGGAGACGAGACCCACGCGCAGGCACCCAAATCGAAGGTGGCGGTCTCAGAGGGGTGAGACCGTAAAGGACTTTTATTCTGTCTTCTGTTTCCAGAATTAACCATAAGCTATCTGTCTTTACAGCGACACTGTTCAGCTTTCTCGTAGGGACTGACGGGGAGCCAGTAACAACCACTGCAGACAGGACTCGTCGCTCAGACACCGTGAGTTCCTGTCACCCCACAGCGTGGAACCCCCATCCTAACCAGGGGGACATCAGTACTTGCCAGAACTAACTCCAAATAAGTGTTGGCATTTCCCCCCATCAAATGCCTCTTTCAAGGGCAATTCATGTTGACTGAGGGTGTTTTATTTGGACTATACTATGCTAGTTGTTATGGGGGGACATCTCCCAAAAGAATAAAAATGTGTCCCTGGGGGAGCCCCAGCCAGGTGGCTCAGTTGGTTGGAATGTCATCCATACACCAAAGGGCTGCAGGTTTGACTCCCGGTCAAGGCACATACCTAGGTTATGGGTTCGATCCCGGTCGGGGTGTGTACAGGAAGCAACTGTTGATGTTTCTCAATTGTTGTTTCTCTCTCACATCGATGTCTCTCTCTCTGTCTAACATCAACAAAAACATATCCTCGGGTGAGGAGTTTTTTTTTAATGTATTACCGGGTATCGACCGAAATGTTAAATACACACAGCATTGGTCCAACCAGTCCACTGTGGTACAGAAATACTTGCATGCACACACTGAGACTCTCACTGTAGCCCTGATACACCAGAAGAAGTGAGAAGTGACTTAAATGTCTATGTGAAAATCATTAACTAAGTGTGGTGCCTGTATATGATAAAGACACCATTCACCAGTTTAAAAAAATAAGATAGTTCTATAGTGTTGATTGGAAAGACATCTAACATACTGATAAGTAAAGAAGGGAAAGCTACAAAATAATATAAAGGAATGCATTCCTGTTTAAGAAAAAAATGATTCTGCGACTATCCATTCAGCAGAATCTGAGTGTGCTCTGTGCCAGCTGTCACTCGAGAGACGGAGAATGCAGCCATAACCAAGACAGTCCCCGACCCCAGGGGGCCAACATTTGGAGAGAAAGAGACAAATGCAGACAAACAATTTCAGCTTGGAGAACGTACCCAGGGTAATGGAGCAAAAGGACTAGGAGGGGACAGTGGCCACTTCAGCTGCAGCAGTCAGGGAGGGCCTCTTTGAGGAGGTGACATTCAAGGTGTGTGGAGCTGAGGAACAGAAACAATGTGGTCATGCACAGAGCTATGGGAGAACCATTCCAAGATGATATCATCAGAGGAAAAGCTGTGAGCCCAGAAACAGGCTCCATGCATCCACGGAGCAGAAAACAAGCCTGAGAGCCCAGAGCAGGCAGGAAGAGGTCAGAGGACAGCAGGGCCGGGTTTCAAGAGGCTTCATAGCCCAGCAGAGTTAGGGTTTTATTTAGTGCAACAGGAAACCAAGACAGAGTTTTAAGAGAGGATTAACAGCAAGAGATGGCCAGCAAGCATCTGCCCCACTCATAAATAAATCTTCTTTCCCTGAACACCTAAGGGATTTTTCATTCAGCTGAGGGCTACAACCCAAGGCTCATCAAGTAACTTAGACTAATAGCTTGCAGGCAAAAGCTAGAGGAAAACTGAACCTTTGATTGGCCTGCATATCTACCCAGGAAAGTAAAACTTGACAGTGGTGTTAACCATGGGTCCTCCCACACTCATTCAAACCAGTAGAGAGAGCCACAATTAGCAGAACACCAACACCCACAGGGAAAATTTGCCAGGCTCCAAAACCCACTGCGACAGCCAAAATGGTGAAACAAAGAAACAAATCCCAAATGAAAGAACAAGAGAATTCTACACAAGAAGAGATAAATGAAATGCAATTAAGCATGTTATCAGAGGTAGAGTTCAGAGTAACGATAATGAGAAAGCTCAGCAGCATGAGTAAAGATACACAAACATAGAAAATCAACCAATTGAAAATGAAAAACCACCAAGTGGAAATGAAGAATGACATAGCAGAAATAAGGAACACATTGGAAGGAATAACCAGAAGAGTACAGGAATCTGAGGATCAGGTCAGTAAATTAGAAGACAGGGTAGAAAAAAATCACCCAATCAGAGAACTAAAAAGAAAAAACAATTAAAAAACAGGAAGACAGTTCAAGAGAACTGTGGGACAATATAAAACATAACAACATCTGCATCATAAGAGTTCCAGAAGAAGAAGAAAATGAGCAAGAGTCAGAGAATATAGCTGAAGAAATAGTGACAGAAAACTTGCCTAACTTGGTGAAGGAAAAAGGCATACAAGTTCAAGAAGCACAGAGAGCCCCAAGTAAGAAGAACCCAAAGAGGCCCATACCTAGACACATAATAACTCAAACACCAAAAATTAAAGACAAAGAATCCTAAAGGCAGCAAGAGATAAGCAATAGGTTACCTACAAAGGAACCCCATAAGGCTATATCAGCTGATTTCTCAACAGAAACACTACAGGCCAGAAGGGAATGGCATGAAGTGATCAAGGTAATGAAAAACAAGGATCTGAATCCAAGACTACTCTACCCAGCAAGGCTATCATTCAAAATAGGAGGTGAAATAAAGAACTTCCAACAACAACAATAAAAAAGGCTAAGGGAATATATTAGCACCAAACCAGCACTGCAAGAAATGTTAAAAGGACTGCTGTAATTAGCAGAAGAAATAGGAAGAAAAATATAACCACAATAAACAAAAATGGCAATAAATAAGTACATGTCAATAATAACCTTAAATATAAATTAAATGCTTCAATCAAAAGACACAGAGTAGCTGAATGGATAAGAAAGCATGACTTATATATATGTTGTTTACAAGAGACCTACCTCACAACAAAAGACTCACATAGGTTGAAAGTGAAGAGATGAAAAAAATCTTCTAAGCAAACAGAAAGGAAAGAAGAGCTGGGTAGCAATACTCATATCCAATAGAATAGACTTCAAAATGGAGGCAATGACTAGAGACAGAGAAGGCCACTACATAATATTGAAAGGATCTATCCAACAGGAAGACATAACCTTGGTAAACATATATGCACCCAATATAGGAGCACCAAAATACATTAAAAACTTCTGGAGGACTTCAAAGGAGAAATCAACAGCAATACAATCATAGCAGGGGACTTCAACACCCTGCTGACATCACTGGATAGATCCTCTAGACAAAAAAAAAAAAAAAAGAGCATGGAAACAGACTCTAAATGATGCACTAGGTCAAATGGATTTAACAGATATCTACAGAGAATTACACCCTAAAACTGTAGAATCCACATTCTTCTGAAGTGCACATGGGACATTCTCAAAGACCGACCACATGTTAGGATACAAACTAAGTCCTTACAAGTTCAAGAATACTGAAATCATATGAAGCATCTTCTCAAATCACAATGGCATGAAACTAGAAATCAGTGATAACAAAAACATGCAAAAACATTCCAAT